TAAATTTCACATGTCACAACATATGATTCTTTTGATTTTTTTTCAATTATTAGAGAATGTAAAAATCCATTCTTAGCTTGCAGGCAGTACAAAAACAAGTTACAGTCTAGACTTAGTCTGTGGGCTGTTGTTTGGCAACCCCTGATCAACAGACCAGGCCAGTGCTGTCCAGTAGAACTATCTGTGATGATGGAAATGTTCTACATCTGTACTGTCCAATATGGTAGCCACTAGCCGTTTGTAACCTACTGAATACCCGAAATGTGACTGTGCCACTAAGGAACTAAAAGTTTAATTTAGCCCTCCCTCTCCTTCCCCTAACCCTTATTATTTCTATAAGGATTAATGCACAGTTTCCCAACTGATCCTCTCCCCAGTTACACTTTCCTCCAATCCATCCTTCACAAAACTAGAGGGGTTTTTCTAAAATAAAATAGGATCTTTGTACTTTTCCAAGGTAATGGTTCCTGCAAAAATTGAGAAAGTCCAACCTGCTAGCATAGCATACCATAGACATTTTTTTCCCCTAGGAAATAATCGAGGTGAAATACCTTCTGTTTGATCAGACAATTGATAAGCTGCTTCTTTTTTTTTTTTTTTGGGAGACAGAGTCTCGCTTGGTCACCCAGGCAACAGTGCAATGGCGCGATCTCGGTTCACTACAACCTCCGCCTCCCGGGTTCAAGTGATTCTCCTGCCTCAGCCTCCTGAGTAGCTGTGATTGGACCATCGTGCCCAACCAATTTTCGTATTTTTGTAGAGATGGGGTTTCACCATGTTGGCCAGGCCGGTCTTAAATCTGCTGACCTCAGGTGATCCGCCTGCCTCTGCCTCCCAAAGTGCTGGGATTATAGGCATAAGCCATCGTGCCTGGCTGGTAAGTTTCTTGAGAGTAGTTTTTCATCATACTTTGTCCCCTTTAATGTTTTGCATAGTGGTTTGCTGAATGATGTAGTGAACAAAACTTGGCTTTGGAGATGGCAACCTTAAATTAGAACTCCACTTCTGGTACACGTTAGCAGTCACCCAAGGCACTTAATTACCTTGAACCTCACTATACTTCCATGCTAAATGGAAATCATGATAACTGTATCACAGAGTTATTGTGAAGATCAACAAATGAGTTTTATGGAAATCCTTTGCACTTTATAAAAGGCAATACAAGTGTTAGCTGTTATAATAAGCATTGAGCATCGAAATGTTTCTAAAAACAATACTATTCTGATTTTACCCAACATATACTCCCCCCACCCCACTCCCCCTTTTTTTTTTTAGATGGAGTCTCACTCTGTTGCCCAGGCTGGAGTGCAGTGGCGTGATCTCAGCTCACTGCAACCTCTGCCTCCTGGGTTCAAGCAATTCTTCTGCCTCAGCTTCCCAAGTAGCTGGGATTACAGGCGCCTGCCACCACGCCTGGCTAATTTTTGTATTTTTAGTAGAGACCAGGTTTCACCATGCTAGCCAGGCTGGTCTCGAACTCCCAACCTCAGGCGATCTGCCCATCTTGGCCTCCCAAAGTGCTGGGATTACAGGCATGAGCCACCGTGCCCGGACATATATTCTCTCTTTTTTTTTTTTTTTGAGACAAGAGTCTCGCTCAGTTGCCTGGGCTGGAGTGCATTGGCATGATCTCGGGTCACTGCAAGCTCTGCCTCTCGGGTCCACGCCATTCTCCTGCCTCAGCCTCCTGACTAACTGGGACTACAGGCGCCTGCCACTATGCCCGGCTAATTTTTTTTGTATTTTTAGTAGAGACGGGGTTTCACCATGTTGGCCAGGATGGTCTCAATCTCCTGACCTTGTGATCTGTCCGTCTCGGCCTCCCTAAGTGCTGGGATTATAGGCGTGAGCCACCATGCCCAGCCTATATTCTCATTTTTAAAGGCAATCTGTACGAGGTAACACTAGGGATATAGGACCTAGATGTTCAAGCGAAAGGGGGATAAAAAAGAAAAATTTTGGCCTATGTATCCCAAATACATCTTTTTTTTTTTTTTTTTTTTTTTTGAGATGGAGTCTGGCTCTGTCGCCCAGGCTGGAGTGCAGTGGCCGGATCTCAGCTCACTGCAAGCTCCGCCTCCCGGGTTTACGCCATTCTCTTGCCTCAGCCTCCCGAGTAGCTGGGACTACAGGCGCCCGCCACCTTGCCCGGCTAGTTTTTTTGTATTTTTTAGTAGAGATGGGGTTTCACCGTGTTCACCAGGATGGTCTCGATCTCCTGACCTCGTGATCCGCCCGTCTCGGCCTCCCAAAGTGCTGGGATTACAGGCTTGAGCCACCGCGCCCGGCCCCAAATACATCTTTGATTTATGCATTTTCCATGTTTAGGCCTAAGACTGTGCTTTCTTCACTTTTATTTCTCTGAACAAAATAGTTTTAGCAATACCAATATATAGTTGATTCTTTAAAGTTTTGTGGTTTTTTTGTTATGGTTTTCTTTTTTGTTTTTGTTTTTTTTTTTAGACGGAGTCTCGCTTTGTTGCCAGGTTGGAGTGCAGTGGCACCATCCCCGCTTACCACAACCTCCGTTTCCCGGGTTCAAGCAATCCTCATGCCTCAGTCTCCAGAGTAGCTGGGATAACAGACACATGCCACTGTCGCTGGGCTAATTTATGTATTTTTTGTAGAGACGGGGTTTCACCATGTTGGCCAGGCTGATCTCGAACTCCTGACGTCAAGTGATCCACCGGCCTCGGCCTCCCAAAGTGCTGGGATTACAGGCGTGAGCCACCGCGCCCGGCCGATTCTTGGAAGTTTAATAAAAGGCTCGGTGCAGTGGCTCACACCTGTAATCCCAGCACTTTGGGAGGCCGAGGCTGGTGGATCACCTGACGTCAGGAGTTCGAGACCAGCCTGGCCAACATGGTGAAACCTCGTCTCTACCAAAAATATAAAAAAAGTTTGCCGGGCGTGGTGGTGCGTGCCTGTAATCCCAGCTACTCGGAAGGCTGAGGCATGAGAATCGCTTGAACCCGGGAGGTGGAGGTTGTGGTGAGCCGAGATCATGTCATTGCACACCAGCCTGGATGACAGAGCGAGACTCTGTCTCAATTAAAAAAAAAAAAGTTTAATAACAATGATCTATGAGCAAGTCAGAATGAAAGAAAAAGCAGTAATATTTTAAAGCATCTACAAGGACTTTTTATTTTCTTTTGAGATGGAGTCTCACTCTGTTTCCCAGGCTGTAATGAAGTGGCACTATCTCCCCGTAACCTCCATCTCCCAGGTTCAGGTGATTCTCCTGCCTCAGCCTCTGGAATAGCTGGGATTATAGACGGGTGCCACTACACCCAGCTAATTCTTGTATTTTTAGTAGAGATGGGGTTTCACCATGTTGGCCAGGCTGGTCTTGAACTGCTGACCTCAGGTTATCTGCCTGCCTCGGCCCCCCAAATTGCTGGGATAACAGGAGTGAGCCTCTGCGCCTGGCCTACAGGGACTTTAAAAAAAAGACTTTCTCAATGAATTCTAGAAGTAGTAGTAGATAGTACTGCTTGCTATTAGGAAGACAAGATAAAAAAGATGTTACCAGATGGGAAAAGCAGGCAAAGGGACAATTTAAGCTCACATAGAAAGGAAATGTTCTTTTCCCTTCCTTAGGCACATCCTGGAATACAGGATTTCTAAGATTAAGTATACTTTTCATTAGACCATATTACACTTCAGGATGGATTTGTATCAATACTTCATTTTCAGTTCTTGAAATTATTGTGACTCCATCATCTCACAAAATGCAAAAAGAGACATTGTCTATGGTTCATATGCTTTTTTTTTTTCTGTAAAGGGTGGTAAAGATTTATTATACACTTGAACTTTAAAGTTTCCAAAGCACTTACTAAATCTGTTTCAGAACACTTTTTCCTTAGCCTCCTGAGTAGCCGGGACCACAGGTGCACACCATGACATCCGGCTAATATTTGTAGTTTTTGTAGAGATGGGGTTTCCCCATGTTGCCCAGACTGGTCTCAAACTCCCGGGCTCAAGCAATCCCCCCGACTTCACTTCCCAAAGTGCTGGGATTATGAGGGTGAGCCATTGTCCCCACCTTCAGAACACTTATTATATTGTATGCAAATGTCCATAAAACCCCCTCTGCTACTTCTTGGAAGACAAGGACTCATCTTTACTATTTCCTATTTATATTGAAATGTGTTATTTTACTCATCTTTATGTGTTTGTCTCACCCACCTGAGTTGTTGGCATTTAGCAGACCACACCAGCAAACTGGTGGCTGTTTCTGCTTGTCACTTGTGGTATTCAAGTTTGCAGTTCCTACTAAGCGCTCAGCAAATTCATATTGAAGCCATGAATGATATGCCTAGGGTAGTCAGGATGATTCCTTAACCACTCATTCACTGGCATCTGAACACTATCATTCAGCTGGAGAGAGGCACCGCTTGTTGGGACCCCCAAACTCCAAAGCTCCCAGGCAACAAGCCCTGCAGCCAGCCCTGAATGTCCTTTCCCCCTGAGACCTCAGCCTCCAATCCTCGTGGGTATTTTCTTTGAAACCACTCTGCAGTTTGCATAGACTTTGGTATATTTTAGATATTCTTCAAAATTTTTATTATTATTATTGTTGTTGTTGGGTTTTTTTTTTTGGTAGAGTCAGGGTCTCACTTTGTTGCCAAGGCTCAAACTTGAACTCCTCGCTTCAAGAGACCCTCCTCAACCTCCCAAAGTGCTGGGATTACAGGTGAGCCACCGCGCCCGTATTCTTTAAATTTTAAATTTAACAATCTAAGATAACTTTTTATATCTTTATTACAGATCCCTCCCAAAGAAGAAGATCTTGGACGAGAGAAAGCGAGAGGTTGGAGAGTAGACACTAGTATCTAAGTTGGGGAAACCTGGTCACTTTCCAGAGAGAGCAATTCCTGAGGTGGGCGGGGGCGATTGGAAGCTGAGGACCCCACGTGACCTCGGGCTCCTGGGGCTGAGCCGACCCCGCCCCTCCCCTCCCCGCCCGCCGCCTCCAGGGGGGCGCATGCGCAACCCGTGTTAGTGATGGAGGAGAGAAGATGGCGGAAGCGGAGTGAGTGACTAGATGGTGACTGATGTCGTAACTAGGGGGGCGAGTTGGGGCAGCGACACGTTCCCCCAGGGGAAAGCTCAGGGCTCTTTCGCGGGCAGTGTGGGGAAAGAGAGACTCGACACCCGTCTTATCGTGGAGGAGCCTGCTAGGCCCGTGTCGGGGGGCGAAGGCGAACTCTAGGGTTCAGTTGCCCTCCAGGCAGGAGCGCCCCTTCCGCCGTCAGGTCCCGGATCTGCTCGGCCTTGCGCGCAGGGTCACCGTTGGGACTCCGGGAGCTGGGGCTTTCCGGGGAACGAGCCCGGGTGGGCTCCTCAGGCGCTGTCATTTCTGCAAGTGGGCCCGGCGGGCAGCCTTGTTACGGCTGCCTGCGCAGGGGCCCGCGGAGGCTGCGTAGGGCAGGGCGGGCACTGCCAGGCCTCCTTCGCCTTCCGCTCTTTCCCGCCTCGGCACCACCCCACTCCTCCTCAGCGGGAGAACCCGAGACGCGGGGCTGTCCACAACCCTCGTGCCGGAGGCCTGCAGGAGTTGTCCCAGCGTGGGCCTGAGAGCGGCGGGGGCTGCTTGCAAGTCTCGTGAGGCTGAAAACAGCCTGAAAGAAAGATCTTTGCCTCGAGTCTCTGGCTGCAGCGTTGCTGCCTCACAAGCAGGCCACATTCTTGTGTGTCGGTGTGACGTTATGCTTAGTTAACGACTCCAGAACTTACTGTTTCCTGGGTAGGCCTCTTGTGCACCAGAACTGCTGGCTGTATTTTGCGGTTATTAGTATGCCTAGACGGTGGAGTTTCCAAAATTGTTCTTTTGTGCCAGGCCTCAAAATGCAGTGCGATGGTTTGGCCAGTTCCACTCACCGATGTTTAGACTTACGCCTAGAATTTGGATTCTCTGTGACCATTTTTGGTTCGTAGTTAGAACTGTTTACCATACTGTTTGGATTGGAGGGCATGGTTGAGCAGATTAACACTTTAAAAAGACCAGAACTTAAGCTCGCCTTTTGCATGTCACTGGTACACTATACGGTAGTAGTATGACAGGCAGCAGTTTGGTAAAAAGTTTACCTTATCTACCACTAATACTGTATAATGTTGAACAGTTACTATATGATGCTGTGATTTGATTGGAAGGCAGTTTGGGGAAAAAAAACCAAACCAGAAGCATAAAGATGTATGAATTATTCACTAATCCAAAAAGTAAGTGAGGAGTCAGCTTTCTTCCTGACGGTTTTCCTTTCACTTTTCCTCTTATTTTCTTTTTCTTTATTTGTGACAGCGTCTTTCGCTCTGTCTCCCAGGCTGGAGTGCAGTGGCGTGATCATAGCTCGCTGCAGCATGGACCTCCTGGGCTCAAGCGATTTTCCCACCTTAGCCTCCCAAGTTGCTGGGACCGCAGGCCTGTGCCATCAGGCCTGGCTAATTTTTTATTTTTCATTTGTAGAGACAAGAGTTTCCCTATGTTGCCCAGGCTGGCTTTGAACTCCTCAGCTCAAGCAATCCTCCCCCAAAGTGGTAGGATGACAGGTGCAAACCGCCACTCAAGGCCCCCACTTTTCCTCTTATTAAATGTTTTTTTTTTTGTTCGTTTTTTTCTACATTTGGTTCCTCAGAGAATATAAATACTGTTTACATACGTAATACAGAACAAAGAAAATTTGTACTTAAAAAAGCAACGCTATGAGACTAGTGTATGTGTACCAATTAGTGCCAAATTCATTTTTTTTCTTGTGGAATAGAAAGTGTTCTTGTTACATTCTTGTCAGTACTGCTAATGTGGGGTGGGTGGGATTTAGTTTCTCAGAAGAAAAGACCTTAAAAAAAGGGAAGATAAAACCAGTATAATCTTGTGTGCTTTTCATCTTCGAGGTACATTTCTGACCCGACAAAAACTACTGCTGTTCTAGTTTCTAACAATATGGAGGTCCTTAGAATTGACTTAAAATGTTTGAATTTATTCAAATACAGATTCCGTATATAGTGGAATTTTGTACAACAAGTAAGATTATAATATTGGAGGGAAAAGATCAGAAAGTCTGGTATAAAAGTGTACTTTACTGTCCATTCATGAGGAAGGGACACAATTTATGTTTTCAAAGTCTGGAGTAATTCTTTGTGAAAAAGATTTTGTAAGGATACGGGAAGTTGCTGTTAGCTGCTTCTCTGTGTTCTTACAGCAACCTGCTAATAAGTATAACTCAGTCATTAGAAGTAGTAAGGACAGTGTTGTAGACTGATTGGGGAAAAGCCAGTGTGAGTTAAAAAAAATACTTTTTAACATTTTTTAAAAAGAACTTATTTTTTAAGCAAAGTATATATGGTAAACTAAACTAAGCTAGTTTAAGCAAAGTATATATGGTAAACTAAAACAGTCCTTAGGCATTCTGTTCTAATGTATAGGTAAGAATGACTTTAGTTTATAATTAGTGTAATCAAAAGAATGTAAAGAAGTGTTTTAAAATACTCTGATACTGCTTAAATTTTTATTTTCCTAAGTAGTTTAGTATTCTCTCATCACCTGTTTTGGTTTAAAATAAATCTTTCGGTAATGCAAAGATAAACTTTTGGCTATGCTTTATCTGAGTTACATATTCCGAATCATTTGAATTCAAATGTAGTCGGTATTAACTATTAAATATGCTCCATATATGTGAAGTATTTTTCCCTTCTAAGTGCTTACAGGGACTCTGTGCTCTCTTTTATGAGGGCGTTCCTAGCAGTTTAGGTTACTGCTGATTATTTCTTTGGAATGAATATTCTTTAAAGCTCATAAGATAATGCTTTTACCAATACAAACCCTTTGTGTGACCTGCCAGATTTAAGGATCATAGTACAGCTATGGATAGTGAACCAAACCCGGGAACATCTTCTGTGTCAACAACAACCAGCAGTACCACCACCACCACCATCACCACTTCCTCCTCTCGAATGCAGCAGCCACAGATCTCTGTCTACAGTGGTTCAGACCGACATGCTGTACAGGTATTTCAGCTGTAGTGATGGGTAGTCTAAGACTTAAATGTCATATTACTTTTTGCTTAAGCCGGATTTATGTATTGTTTCATATTCTCAAATGTACAGTTAGAATTACTAATGTTTGAGTCAACTGTCTCAAACCGTTTTGTGTTGCTATAGCAGAATACCAAGACTAGGTAATTGTAAAGAAAGGAAACTTACTTCTCATGTTTCTGGAAGCTGGGAAGTCCAATATGAAGGTGCTGGCATCTCACGAGGGCCCTCTTGTTGCCTCATTCCATGGTGGAAGACTAGAGAGCAAGATAACAAATTTGCAGCCTCAAGCCCTTTTAAAATATCCTTTAATCTATTCATATGGGCGGAGTCCTTATGGCCTAATCACCCCTCAGGGGTCCCACCTGTTAACACTGTTGCATTGGAGATTAAGTTTCCAACACATACTTAATTGGGGGACACATTCAACCACAGCAACAGCCAACAAAGTTAATTAATAATCATACTATTGGCCAGGTGTGGTGGCTCACACCTATAATCCCAACACTTTGGGAGGCCAAGGCAGGCAGATAGCTTGAGCTCAGGAGTTGGAGACCAACTGGGACAACATGTTAAAACCCCATCTCTACAGAAAATACAAAAATTAGCAGGGCATGGTGGTGTGCGCCAGTGGTCCGAGCTACTCAGGAGGCTGATGTGGGGGAATTGCTTGAGCCCGGGAGGTCAAGGCTGCAGTGAACTGTGATCACACCACTGTACTCTAGTCTAGGTGACAGAGTGAGACCCCGTCTCAAAAAA